AGTTTGAGCTGGATGGATAAAAAAACGAGTTCTTTTTGGATGAGCGAGAAGTGAGCAGTGAGAACTCGAATTCAGCAACGAAAGAAAAAAAAACGAAGAGAAAACTGTGACTTACCCCGAAAACGTAGAGCATTCCTTGAGAGAAGCAAGCTGAGTGTCCCCATCTCTCGGGAGGATTTGCACCTTGGACTTCCGGATACACCCAAGCAGCTTTCTTCCCCACATTTTCCAATTTGAGAGCGGCCATTGCGAGCGAGCGGCGATCTGGCTTGCTCCAAAGCCAAAGGGAACCAAAACACAAAATGATGGCCTTTGGGAAGTACTTTGAGAGCTCCTCCTCTAGAGCAAATGCTTGCAAGCTGTCATCATGAATTCTCCCAAACTCGGTTCAGTTGCGAATGAATTTAGTTTTCACTAAGGAACATTCTACCAGCGTGCCTGCCTGCTGCAAGGAACCAAGAAAAAGAGTATGAAAGATTGCACGGAATGTTTACAAGAACACACGCTCGACTTTGAAAGAAAGAAAAAAAACTCCAAATTGGATCATATCATCCAGAGAAGAACAGAGACACAGACATTACTCATGCTAGAAACAGGGACTTGTCGAAACCAAGAAGCTAAAGAAGAAAAGTTACCTCCGTGCCTCTCACGAAATCGAAGAGAAGAAACCGAGACACAAAAACTTCTCCGTCCTCTTGTTCTCTCTCCCTGAGTTTTTGAGTTGCAAGTTTGGAATGGAAAGAAGCTGGGCTTATATGCAAAGAGAAAGAGAGAGAGGAAAGAGAGAGCGATTTAGAAGACAGCAAGAGGGCAAAAGAGGCCGGTGGCGATGGATATGACGGCTCTCACCCCTCGTAACACAGTTTTAAGCTCGCAAGCTTTGCTCGCCGTCCTCCATGACGAGGAAGAACTCCTCTCTCTCTCATAGACGCTCTAAAAACTGGTGAGAACGAAAGGGCACCCAACAAACCAGCAGAGCGGCAGGGTGCCAGGGATTTGGTGAAGGGAATTTGTCAATCCTAGCCGCTACACACATACACAAAAAGAGAAAACCAAAGTTCCCTCAACTCAAAGAAAAAAAAAAGCTGGAGGAAGATCAAGTCTCGCTTTCAAACCACAGACACAAAGACACAAAGACACACACGGAGACACAGTGGCTTGCTTGCTTTGTTCGTGGAGTTATAGTGCTAACAGGAGCTTACACAAGCTCAAAAAGAAAGAGGGGCTTTGTGATGAGCACTAAGCTAAGCCCGCATTTCCACACTGCTGCTGGGCAAAACTATGGAGGAAAAGATGAGAGCTTTACCTATGGAGCACCGAAAGTTGCTTGGGAATCCATGCCAGCTCCACCCAACAAGACGAGCATCGCTGCGCTTCTCATTGCCTCTTGCCTTTGACCTAACAAAAAAGAAATGGTGTTTGTGCCAACTTGGTGAGATGGAACACAAAGAAAAGTGTGATTTTTATCGAGGAGATTTGCCTGAAATGGTTACAAATCCAGGGAGATCTTCGAGTACTCGCACTCCATGCCCCACAAATCTCAGCTTTAAACGCACGGATGGATCCAGCTTAACGGGTGTTAAGGCAAGAGTACTCGCTCGTATTGGTCACCATCGCCAAGAAGAAGTTCGTCATCGTCACCATCTTCTCCTCCTGCTGCATTTTTTTTTTCCTTCTCGATACTCTGCCTTGAATGTGGTGAAGGACTTTGGAGGACCAACACCACCATATAGGAAAAGCTAGAAAAGAAAGCTGGAAAGAAAAGGAAAAGCAATTTACTGTTGATTTTTTTCTTCTTGCAAGTTTGAAGGTCGAAGAAGCCATCGACGTCGAGAGGCCACCAACACCCACCGCGTTGTTTTTGTTGCTTCTCTTTGTTTGTTCTTTACCTCGAAAGGGGGACAGGGTTTTTGGAATGCATCGAATGGAATGCAAAAAAACTATGAAATGAATGCTCTCGTAAGCTCTGCTTTCCTTTGATCAAAAACCGTGACACAACAGGAAAAAAGATTGAAAAGTCTTGGAAAACATAAAATAAAAACACAAAACCCTCCGTTGGATTCAAACGGGCAAATCTAACATGCATGCTTCCCAACACCCCAACATCAACGACAAGAACATCTGATGATTTTTTACCCTCTCTCAACACGCACAAACTTCCAACAAATATTTCTTTATTTCACGATCATAATAGTAAAATATAAAGCGCCAGAAAAAAAAAGAAAATGGCTGCCAGAACAAACAAACCCTAGAAAGCGAGCTACATATCCCGTTAACGCTCTGTTTCATTCCACCCTTTACGTTAAATTCCCCCAGTTTTTAAAGGCGGCCAAACTTTTTTCTTCTTTTGCGCCGCCAACTTGTTGTTTCTTTCTTTTGGAAGGTGGCGGTGGTGGCTGGTAGGTTGGAATGTCACTGTAAAATCCTCAAACCCTAGCGCTTTCGGGTCTTTGGATCCTTAGCTTTGATCCTCTGAACGCATGCACATGGGGAGGGGCAAAAGGTGGTGCAATTCTTTTTTCTGAACCCAGCAAGTAGCCTCTCATAGTCCACTGAGTTTACCACCTTTCTTTACACTCCGCCACCTTTTGTTTTCGCTAAAGAGTCTTAAGTTAGTTAGTGGGGAGGGAACGATGTCCCATCCCGATCTTTCACCAACTCGACTGCGCATATGTTGACGTGTATGTACGCCACAAGAATACGTGGGAAATACATGTCATCTTTTTACCGGAAAAAGATTTTGACGTCGTTTTAAACCCCTTTTGAGCATGCTTGGTAAAAACAGTTGAAATGTCTACCACCTACAACACGAATGCCAGCTTGAATACCACCAGAGAGATGGAGTGAGACAGAATCTTTCTATATTTTCTGGGACAACGACCCTCGTTGATCTTCTCCTTTGAGAATTTCATGAAATAATCTGGATACTTGTCTGAATTTCAGCGAATGAAAGGAGAAGGCAAAAGGTGAGGAGGAGGAAGCTAAGACCTAACACACAGGAAGAACAAAAGAAAAAGAACCAAAAGTAGAGGAGGAGCACAACTCAGCCATCAAAACATCTTGCACCAATCAATCAATTCAATCCAATCCCATCAATTTTCTGAGATTGAGATCTCAAAAACAAGCTTTAATGAAGACAATGGCGATAGAGTATTCCATGAAAATGCCAGCTCGGTGGCCGGAAGAGATTGGATAGATGGCGACCCCGTGTCTAATCTTACGCCTCTCTTGGGAAACAAGGAACCCCTGCTAAGAAACATATAGAAAGGAGTTATACGTAGAGCGTACGAATTGCGGTAGCATGGGCCTCAGCGTTTTAAATTGGGCGTCAGATCCTGGATCGAGTCCTTCCCTAACTTCGTCTCCGTGAAGTGAAAGTGATCCTCTCGATCACCTCGGCTTTTGATAAAAACCATAAAGTTGGCTCGCTGCTCGGTGTGCGTTTTGATCGATTTATACAAAAAATAAGCATGGTAGTGTCGTTTTCACTTGGAAAAGAATGCTTGCAGGAACTCAGGCATATGTAATTCATAAATTCGGGTATATCTTAATAGTATTTATAATTGCATACATATACGTATATCTATCAAATTGGATGAGCTTTTTTATTTGATTTGTCTGTACACTAGCTGGCGATGGATCGCCTCACCTCACGAGGAAAGGCAATTTAATCCTAAAATAATCAGAAAAAGGAGCAGAAATAAAAAGGAGAGAAATCTCTAGTACATGGAACCAAGAGAACACTATCACAACAATGAGGGAGTTTGGTCCTTCAAGTGGCCCAAGAAAAGGGAGGGAGTTGATAGGCCAGTGGTCAAAATAAAAAATAAAAGAATGAGAGAAAACAAATGTGTTTGTTGAAAGGGTTGGATCAATCCCTTTATCATAAAAATTGTGCTACCCATGTTCAAAAGCAAGAAGTGGAGGGAGGGATGTCAAATTTGTTTCCAGGTATTGTAGATGGATGGTCTTGTGTCTCCCACACAGACAGGAGAGGACCTCCCAAATTTCTTCAAAGATGTTATAATTTATTTGCTCTCCTTACAATGCTGATGGCTGTGTTGCATCCACCCTTTTCCCTTGCCTGTAGAAACAAGGACCCAAACATGATGTAGCACACAAACATAACATGTTCTTTGGTCCCTACCAAATCACACAAGAATCTCGATCTCTCAAATTTCAAAAAAAGAATTTATCCTCTATATGCTATTTTGATAGTCTTGCAGTGCCCAACTTGAAGCATGAGAATGATGGATGAAAAATGCAAAGGTTTGTGAGCTTTGCTGATGAAACCGTTAATCAAATTTTTAGGGTTCTTCAGTTTACACTTTTAGGGTTCTTCATAGAAACAGGGGTTTGGGGATGAGCGCCAGCGCGGCAACAAGCAGTGGCACGGCGGGGCGGCCTTGGAACTCCACTACTTCGCTCACCGCCTCTGCCAAGCGGATCCAGAAGGAGCTCGCAGAGATTAGCGCTGATCCACCAGAGAATTGCTCTGCCGGTCCAAAGGGCGATAATCTCTACGAGTGGGTCTCCACAATCGTTGGTCCTTCTGGTACACTTCTTAGATCAAGCAAATGCTTTCATCTTTTGAAGGAAATCTTCTTCTTGTCGCAGGATCGCCTTATCAAGGTGGGATTTTTTTCCTCGACATTAGCTTCCCCAGCGATTATCCATTCAAGCCTCCCAAGGTAATGTGGAAAGGAGGAAAAATTCGATGATCCTATCTCTCGCTGGAAAAATGTAGGTGGTGTTTAGAACGCGAATCTATCACTGCAACGTTCATCCCAGCGGACAGATCTTCCTGAAAATTCTCGAGGAGAATTGGAGTCCAGCTCTTACAATCTCCAAAGTTCTTGTTTCGATTTGTGCATTGCTGGGCGAGCCAGATCCTTGTGAGTTTTCTCTTCGTTTTTCTTGAACTTATTTCTTTATTTTTTTTCTTCCTTGCAGTCGATCCTTTGGTGGGAAGTATCGCCCACGAATATTTGTCCGATCGTCACCTCCACGACAAATCCGCCATGGAATGGACTCGAAGATTCGCGCACTGATTAACAGTTTAAAAATCTTTAAAAAGCTTCGGGAGGAGCCCTAAAATCTCTTGCACTGAGGAGATATGGAGGAGAGGGAGTGGGCGATTTGTCTCCGGATTCTCTCGCTCGGTGCCGGCCGGGATTCCTCGGCGATCGACACGGCCGACACCTCGGTTCGCGATGCGGTTAGTAACGAGGATGCTGGATTTTTCTTTTGCTGTGATTTCTAAAGAGGAGATGGGGTGTTTCTGTTTCTCAGGTGGAAAGGCTCAATGCGATGTGTAAGAGTGAAGGGAACGAGGATTTGGTGACGAGAGTTTATCCCGCCATGACGAAGCTCTTCCAGCGATGCTGTTCTTCGTCGACACAACGTCCCAGCACCGCTCTAGTTGCGCTGGTACGAGCTTGGAATTTTTTGGTTGGGAAAGTTCTTAGCTTTTTATTTTCTTGCACACAACAGGCTATATTACAGTTTTTTCTGGATCATGGAGAGACTGTTCTTCACGATGCGGATCCAAGTTTGCGAGCTTTTTTTCGCTCATGCCTCGTCAAGTAAGTGTTAGAGTTTCTTTGTTCTTTCTTTCATTCATTCTTTCTTTTCTTTTATTTGATGAGCATTTTTGTTTTTTCCAGGCAATATGCAGATCCTGCTGTAGCAGCTGCGACTGTGGCTTTCCTAAATCACAACAAGATGAAGCTTTTGCTTTCCTATTCGAGTGTTCTTCCTCAGGTTGGTATCGAACTTTCATTGCTGTCGCATCTATCTCATGTGCTATAGTTTTGACTGCGCAGTTCTTTCCTTTGCTCCTCAAGGTGATTGCTTGGAGAGATGAAACGTGAGTGAATTTTTTTTTGCGGTAGTTTATCTCCATCTTCTGATTTTCTGTTGCTTTATAGCCTCGACACACCATTTTTGCAGCTGTTTCCCGCGCTCATGGGGCCGCCGTCATTTTTGCAGCTGTTCTTGGCTCTTCTGGACCTGCCGAGTGAGTATCTCCGAGCTATGAGTCGATTTCTGAAGTTGAAGCGTGTGAAGTTTTTATGCAGCTTTGGTCCTGGCTCTGGAGAGTCTAGAACAACGCACTGGATCTCTACACGGAAACATGGGAAACATTCGAAAGAACCCGGCACCCGAGGTGATATACATGCTCATTAAGTTGTGCGATTTGTTTATTCGTTTCTCAGGCACTTCTGGCATTGATGGACGAAGCTTACACAGGAACTTTCATTGATGGGGGCGACGATTCCAGCAAAGAAGGCTCTGGAAGAAATTCGCATTACGAGGCAGATGATCTGTTTTCGGACCTCTTGAAAGATGAAAACGAAGGCTTAGCGGTAACAAGAAGTGACTCTATTGCTTTGAGGTTAAGAAGGTTCATCTTGCAGGAACGTCATTGGTCGTATCCTGGAATGAAGGCCACGTTGGAAGCAGCAATGGGGTCTGTACAATCCAACAAGCTTAAACACGCTCTGAAATTTAGCCCGCAGCTTTTGCAAGTCTATTTCGACATCGCATTGCGAGACGTGAGCGATTGTAAGTTCCAAGCCTTTGGTTTTTGCATTTAATCCCCGCTGCTCTTTGTATGTTTAGCACTACTCTGCGCTCTTTTACCTATGGTATTCTTCAGAATCGATGCCATGTTTCCGGATAAGGCATTTTCAATCGAGGTAAGCAAGATTAGTTAACTCATAAGCTGACTCGTGTCTTAAATCAGGTCCAACAAACGTGTTTTCAGTTTATTCACGCTTGCTTTAAGAAATCTCCTCAATTCATTGCTCTTTTGAAGGTAAGCCTTTCTTATCTATTTGAAATCGTTATTCCAAAAGAAGTAAAAACATCGCAGAAGCCCATCACGGACAGCGTCAGTCAACCTCAAACAAGTGACGGCAAAGTAAGATGGATTTCGCAATGTTTGAGCGCTAAACTTACATTGCATTTGCTAGACTGAGCTTGCTTTGCAACTATGCTGGGCGATTGGAGAACATGGAGGTGGTGGTACGCATTTTAAGGATGCTGCAAGAGAGCTCTTTGAAACTCTGGAGCTGGTTCTCTACGAAAACCTCTCGTCAAGGTAATTGAAGTTTCTCACAGCTTACGTTGTGTCTAATCTTTACAAACATCCAGGCGTAAAACTTCTGCCGTCCCGGCCCAGTCCCGGCTGCTATGTTTTGTCATAACCGCCATAGCAAAGCTTGCAACGTGCCATCGAGAGCTCTCACCTAGAGCTCGAGTGTGCCTTGCCAAGGTTTGTTTCTTTTTTTTATTTTTTCTCCTTCTCTGAGGGAGTTTAAGTTGCTGTTCTTGATTGCTTCGAAGGTGGCACGATCACATCAGCTACTCGATAAGATCGTCTGGAGAAGAGCTCGTGACTACCTAGGTCTGATGCACGACCACGCGATTTGCTCGTCAATCTTGGGTGGCCAGCACAGGCCTGGAACGGTGGAATGGAGCAAAGCTCAAACACTGGCAGTCGCCAACATCCCGTTTTATCTCCTCGACGAACGAGAAGGTAAGATTCGGTTTAGCTCGTCTTTTCAGAAAAGTTTCAAGCTCCTTGGTCTTATTTTGTCAGGTTTGCCATTCCACGACTTCTCCTTCTCAGACATCATCGGCCAAAGTGTAGCTTCTTAAAACACGCAAAAACTCTTTACAGACTTCAAGGTAAAAGAGAAGCTAAGCTCTCGAGTTGGAACTTTTTCCAACAAACAAACTATTCTGCGGCCTCCTGGTTGTTATCTCCACCCAAACTTCCTTCTTCCAGATCCAACTCCGCAGACTTGCTATCTTCGTCCAACTTATCCTGCTCGTTGTCCTCTTCGACTCCTTCCTCCAAATTCTTCTCGTCCTCCTCTTTTGAATCATCTTCATCTTTCGAAGACTCCTCAGTCGTCCTCGCCTCCTCGTCTTCTTTCTCGTCTTCCAGAGCTGTCGAGTTTCGGGCCTTGGGATCCTCATCCTCCAGACCCGACACGAATTCCTTCGCTTCCGGTTTCTTCACCCCAGCGCCACCACCCGTTTGAGCCAACTTCAGCTTCTCCTCGAGCTCACGAATCTGCTGCTTGAGCTCCCGCAGCTCCTCGGCGCTGTGCTGCATCTTCCCCAACTGCTCCTTGAGCTCCTCGATCTCCTCCTCCTTGCTTTGCACGGTCTCCTCCAAGTTCCTCTTCCTGTCCTCGGTGGAACCCCGGTACTTCTCGAGCTGGGCAAGCTGCGAGTTCAAGCTACTGGTATCAGTCGCAAGCTTGCTCTTCTCGGCTCGGAGGCTAGACACTGTTCTTTGCAGCTGCTCGGACGACTTGAGAACCTCCTGCCAAGAGCAAAAGGAAAAGAAAAAACTCGTGTAAGTTCGTCCTCGACGACTAATCAAGTCCTTAAGAGAAGATAGAGCGAAAGAAAGAAAGACCACTTACTTGGAGCTCTAGATGGAGCTTGACGATCTCGCTCTCCTTCTGGTATAGCGCAGCACTGGTGGAATTGCGTTCCCGGAGCGTCTGGAAACCCAAGAGCGCCACCACCACCAAGCCGATGACGAGCGCCGGCGTGTAAGCCGGAATCTTGCTCCTGGAGCTCGCCATTTCTTGGCTCTCACTTCTTTCCACTTCCCTAAAAGGAAAGCCTCTCTCTCTCTCTCTACCCTGTGACCCACAAGCTCTCGCTCTAGCCGGATGCGTGATCCAAACAGCAAAAAGCCCACCTGGAATCGCTATAACGTGCCAAAACGCCTCGTTTCTTTGCTCAAAGGATCTTCCACAATGTAAACTCCCCCGTACGGACTTTTGCGCTTGTTAGTACGACTCCCGAGACTCAAGCCTGCATTCGCGATGGAAGAAAACAGTAAGAATTCCACACGAAGCTTTAAAACCATCTCTATCTATTTATCAACTTCTCGTGATCGTGAAAAGAGGACAAGGTACCCGAGAGTCACGCTTGAGCTTGGACGGGGAGTTTGCTGCTCCTCTCCATGAGTTCCTCGAGCACTCGCGTCGCGTCGGGGAGCTTTTCCTCGGCTTCGCGTCCGGCGATGCGCAGCTCCGCCACCAAAAGCTTTTGGCAGTCGAGAGCGTCGTCATATCTGCGCCAAGCGATCGCTCGAGCATTAGCAAAGATGGAAAAGAATGATAGAAAGCGAGAAAAGCAAGACATACCTTTCGAAATGCTGGTAGCACGTGACCAAGTTGTGATAGACGGGGAGCTTCGGGAAGCAAATCTTCTTGGACAGGTCCGAGCGCTTCATCTGTTCCGGGCTCTCGAGCAAAGCTTTAGCCTCTTGCAGCACCTCCAGCGCGGCCTGGTGATTCGAGAGTTCCATGTGTGCTATCCCCGTCAAGGTGAGAAGGTTGAGGCTCGGCAACTCGAGCTTCCTGGACAGTTCCATGGCCTCCTCGTAGTAATGCAGCGCGCTCTCGGGCTTCTTGTGCCGTATAAGCTGCGAGCCAAGGTCCATCTTTGCGTTCATCACTAGCTTCTCCGCTCCAGGGACGCAGTCGTAGGCGGCGATGGCGATCTTCAGCGTCCTGATGGAGCCTTTGACGTCTCCCATCGCGTCAAACAGCGCCGCGATCTCGTGGAGCTGGCTGGCAGTCTCGTCCATGGAGCCGGCACCAAGGTTCGCTTTGTAGAACTCGAGAGCAGCCATCAACCTCTTGAGTCCTTCGTTAAAGTCCTTCTTGAGATAGAACGCCTTGGCGAGCTTGAGATAAGCAGTCCCTCTGTAAGTCACTGGCTTCTTTGGAATCGACTCCATCGCCCCTTCTATCGTCGCGATGGCTTCGCTGTAGCTCTCCATGCACATCTGCGAGTCCGCTATTCCCATGTTGGCCCAGTAGGTGTTCTCCTCGTCCTCGTTGAAGATCTGCCTCGCGATTCTAAACTGTTCCAGCGCCTTCTCGTGCTGGCTCAAGCCCCTGTAAATCCGTGCCATGATTTTCCTGTCGTGGCCAACTTCCTCGTTGTCAAAGCCTTTGATCTTGCTGTGGATACGAATGGCTTTCTCGCACAGCTTCTTGGCCTCCTCCCACTGCTCTACGTCACACAAGTGCTCCGCGGCCTTGCGGAAGTCGCTGCCGAGGTCGGGATCGTCGCATGGTAGCACCGTCTCTTGGAGATCCAGCGCCTCTATCAGAGACTCCACGCCTTGCTTGATCCGGCCCAGAGACAAGTACGTGACGCCGAGCTGGTTCGTAGTGAACTGCATCTCGCGGACAACTTCCTGGCCCTTCTCGTTCATCTCGTCGAAACACGTCGAGGCTCGTTTCAGGTAAGAGAAACTCTTCTCGTACTGCTCGAGCCCCCGGTATCCAGCTCCCAGCACCGCGAGGCACATTCCCTGCTCGATGGAACCATCGCCACCAACTCCGAGAACTTTGAGAGCTTCGTTCGCAAGGTCCACTGCTCTCTGTGGCGACAGGTGCTCACTCGAGCACAGCTCCTGACCAAGTTTGAGCTTTACCACCGCGATCCTTCGGTCGTCTGAAGGAGCGGTGCTGGAGAGCTCCTTGAGCTTCTTCTCGAGGTGCTTCACAGAGCTTGGCAGCTGCCTGATGTCCCTGTAGTCCCATACGTAGTCGTGGTCGCCTTCGTCGTCCTCGTCCTCCTCGGCTTGCTCCTGCTGTAGCTTTCTGTCCATGAGAAACTCCTTGAGCTCGTCATCCACCTCAAGAAAGTCATCCTGTTTTGCTCCCGCTGTGACCACATTTTCATACTGCGTCTTCGCTTGATTTGGCGATGGTTCTGCCACCTTTGAATCTTTTTCTACAACCACGTTGTCTGTCTCAGCAACCTTCACAGTCTCTGTTGTCTCTGGCTTCGCTGCATCGTCCGAAGCTTGCTGCGACGCCCCGGACTCTTCCACAAGTGGTACGCTTATTTCCGAATCTAGATTGTTTTCCACGAACTCTGGACTTTTAGTCCCACTAGTATCTCTCTTGCCTTGAACGTCCAAACTTTGCGGCGATGATTCTACCACCACGACCCGATCCGGTTCCTTCATTTCTAGCTCTATACTTTTCTCTGAATCCTCTGCTACTAAACCATCTGTCCCGGCAATCCTCGCAGCTTCATCCAGTAGCTCCATCTTTTTTGCAGCTTGCCTCCCTGGCTTTGGTGGTCTCTTCTCAACTTTCTTTTCCAACTCCATACTATTCTCTGCTACTAAACCAACTGTCCCGACAGCCTTCACAGTTTCCTCCACCTTCTTTGCAGACTGTGTCCTTGGCTTAGATGTTTTCCTCTGGCCTGGAGCTGATAGCTCGGACTCCATTCCTTCCTCTACTGGCACTTTCTTCGTCCCTTTCGACTTCGCTTTAGTCACCTCTTTGCCATTTCCTGAAACACTGGAGTCTTTTTCTTCCTCGCCCTTCACTTTTCTCGATCGCTTTGGCTTTGGTTTGGCTCCCTCGATCGCTTCGTTACTGCCAAGACCTTTCCTGGCAGCTAAAAGCTTTGCCTCGGTCTCCACCACCTTCGTTTTCTTGGGTTTAGCCTTCGCTCCATCGGCCACCTCCTCGACATCTCCTTTTCTCGAAGCCGGCAACGTCGGTTCTTCCACTTTCTTCGTTCGCTTTGGCTTGTCCTCCATATTCTCATTTGCTTTCGAGTGATCTTCCCCTTTTCTCGAAGCACGAGAATTACCTGCGGCCGGGATCACGGATTTCTCCTCCTTCGCCACTTTCTTACCGCTGCCAGCACCGGCATTGCTACCAAAATACCTGGAAGGCAGCAGCGATGGAAATCCCGAGCTTCGCCGGCTACAAATCTCCCAAATCTCGTGCTCCAAGAATGCGGCACTGCTGTGACAACAGAGCGATCGTCTAGCCGCGAAGGAATTCCTGGCCAGAAGCAGCAAGCGTGTAGCGACCATCGCTAAAACCCTAAACCCTCTTGGCCTCTGTTTTTAGGGCTCTTAGCTAGGGCATCTTGTCACTATGGCGTTTATGGTGGCATTCCTGGCTGTGGCGGTGGCGATCCTGGCCGCCTCGCTTCTTCTCCTCTCCAGGCGGCGAACCCATCTCCCTCCGGGGCCAAGGGGTTTCCCACTCCTCGGCAATCTCCTCCAGATGCGATCGGTGCTGGGGAGCCCCATGAATCTCCAAAATCTGGCCCGACAGCACGGCGCGATCATGACACTTCGCGTTGGATCGGTGCCCCTGGTGGTTATCTCGAGCTCGCAGCTCGCGCACGAGGCCCTGATCGAGAAGGGCTCCATTTTCTCGTCGCGGCCATCCTTGTCCGAGCGGCAGGTCCGGCTGAGCAACGACCGCCGCAGTATCAACGCGGCGCCCTATGGTCATCACTGGCGTACCGTGCGGCGCAACATGGTAAGCCACGTCTTGAGCCCACACCGCGTCCACGCCTTTGAGCCCGCCAGGCAGCGCGTTATCAGTGAGCTCGTGGAGAAGCTTCGCCAGACGTCACAACGCGCGGACAGCCCGGACGGCCCGTCGTACCGCACGGTAGACAAGGAGTACAGCGCGGATAGTCCTGTGTACCGCGTAGATAAGGAGTGCCGCGCGGACAGCACGTCATGCAGCGCGGTACCGGTTCTTGCAACGCTCAGGTTCACCGTCTTCTCGCTTCTTTCCTACATGTGCTTTGGGCAGTGGCTGGACAAGGATGCCGTGAATGGTGTGGAACGAATGCTGCGGCACTTGATCACCAGTGCTGGACGCGGTGGGAGGATGAGCGACTTTGTCCCGCTTCTCAAGATTGTCCAGCGATCGCCGAGGGATTTGAAGCTGGAGGAACTCGTCGGAGAGAGGAGGGAGCTCCTGCTGCCTCTGATCCAGAGGGCCAAGCTCCTGGCAGCCGAGGACAAGCTCGATCAAAACTCCTACCTGAGCTCGCTGTTCTCGCTCCAGCGGCAAGAGGATCATCAGCTCAAGCTCACGGACGAGGACTTGATCGTGCTGTGCTCCGAGTTTCTCAACGCCGGAGCCGACACCACCGCCAACACTCTCGAGTGGTCGCTCGCCAACGTGATCAAGCACCCGGCCGTCCAGAAGAAGCTCCTGGAGGAGATCCATTCCAGCGTTGGAGACAAGCCAGTGACCGAGAAAGACATCGACAAGCTCGTCTACCTCAAGGCCGTCGTCAAGGAAACTCTACGCAAGCATCCACCGGGCTACACCACTCTTCCTCACGCAGTGACCGAGCCTTGCAAGCTCGGAGGCTACGATATCCCGGTCCATGCAACGCTGCTCTTCAACATCTACGCCATCAACAACGATCCGGAGCTGTGGACGAATCCTGACGAGTACAAGCCCGAGAGGTTTCTTGAGGGGCCGGGTGCCAGTGCCGACTTCACGGCCTCGTCCGGGGTGCTAAACTTGATCCCGTTTGGAGCCGGGCGGAGGATCTGTCCCGGGCTCGGCCTAGCGACTCTCCACGTCCATCTCGTCCTTGCTCGTCTCGTGCAAGAGTTCGAGTGGAACACAGTGCCCGGCGACACAGCAGTGGATCTAACTCCCATACAAGAGTTTACTGTGGTGATGAAACAACCACTGAGAGCAACTCTCAAAGCTAGAAGACTGTGAAGAAACATGTATATAGTAAGTGCTTCCTATGTTTTATAGTATGTAGGTTTTAATTTGAAACGGGCAGATCATACTTCAAGGTTTCTCATTTATGCAATCAAAAGCTACCGAAGCCAAAAATCACCTCTGGCGGACTTCTTTGCAAGCTTTCAAGCCGCGTGGATGAGCTTGCAGCGGGTTTCCAAGGTTGACGGCAAGGCTAGGAAAAAGTTTCTGGATCTCTGCATTGTCTAGAGTAAGCGGATCGAAGTTTTTTGGAGGAGCTTTTGGCCAAGATGGTGGTACAATGATAGAGCCTTTATACTGGACGATCTGGGTGGTGATTGCATCTGATTCAGATAGTGATGTGGCTATTCTTGTCCAGCACAGAAAGAGTTGTACGAGCCACTTCTGAAAGAGAATATACGAGTAATAACAAAAAGGGATATTATGTTGCTCTCACTTAAAGGTTTACGGGGAGTATATGCATGCTTCTCAGACCTCACACCTGAAGTGTTATCGCGATGGGATTCCCTAAGGCATACTCCAATAAGCTCATGTTGATTTGATCATAGGGTTTTATTAAACAAGCCTGAAACTTCTGCTGGTCTTGCAGGCGCCAACTTTCTCATTAGCCACCAGCTGATAGATTGTGATTACAGTGATATCATATGATATTTATTCTCCAGGATAACGGCTGCGAGAGAGGCGACATGCTAAGTACATGTCAAAGCCAGGGGTCTGGAAGCTGAGGAAGATTATCTCAGTGGATAATGCGTCCTCGCTGCAGCAACTCTGTGAGGAACTTGGCTACAGACACTGTTTACCAGCCCAGCAAGGTGGCTGCCACCATTGCAAACTACTGAAGGGTGTCTGAGATGCAAATCGCTGCCAATCTGGTGAAGAACGGGCCATTGTCACAACAGTCAAGTGTTTGCTTGCCCGCGCATTTGCCCTGTGCATAGAGAATGGACCATGAAGAATTCTTGGACTGATGAATTTGGTAAAGATGGGTACTTTAGGCTAACCATATGGTGTGGCCGTTTCACACATTACCAATGTTGACGTTGACATAATCTCAAGCGGTTTACAAAATATACGACTTTAGTGAGAATCTTCTCAAATGGATGGAGTACGCTCTCTACGCTCTACGAGTAATGATGATGGAGCGAAAGCTACTGGTTTGTCCGGATTCAGCTGTAATGGTGTATATAAACGCGGCCTAAGCCCAGCCCCGGCTAGCACTGCCCTTTCTCCTCCGACGCAGTTACGGCTAGGCTATGGCGGCAAGCATGCAGGAGAAAGGTTTCTCCTCTCTCTCTCTCTCGGATCTCTCTCTCTCTCTCTCTCTCTCTCGGCTCTCTCAATCTCACACTTTCTTCTTGCAGCTCTGACGGGAGAAGCTCTGGCGGGAGTGAGCGATCCTCAGCTCCACGGTTTGCTACTCTCTCTCCCTCTCTCTCTTTTTCGGCTCTCTCAATCTCACACTTTCTGTCTTGCAGCTCTTGCGGGAGAAGCTCTGGTGGCAGTGGGAGGCGTGAGTGATCCGCAGCTCCAGGGTCTTGCTCTCTCTCTCTCTCTCTCTCTCTCTCTCTCTCTCTCGCGCGCGCGCGCGCGGTGATAGTCTCTCGTCCTGCTTGTTTTGCAGATTGCGCGCCGCCCCGGTCTTGCTCAATCCGTTTGTTTTGCAGATCTTCTCTGGAGCATGTATCTTTCTTTCTGTTTGCAGATCTCTCTCTCTCTCGCGCGCGCGCGTCTCTCGTCCTGCTTGTTTTGCAGATCGCGCGCCGCCGCGGTCTTGCTCAATTCGTTTGTTTTGCAGATCTTCTCTGGAGCATGTATCTTTCTTTCGCAGATCTCTCTTCTCTCTCTCTCTCTCTCTCTCTCTCTCTCTCGCGCGCGCACGATCTTCGTTCTTACAATCTTTCTTGCTGCTTAGGAATTTGTGGCGGATTTAACAGGATGCGCGAGGGCGAGCTGAAGGCCATTCTCGGCGCATGCACTCCGTCTCTGGTCGTCGCTGCTTGGGGTCAATTCGAGATGACCGGCCATGTCATCGTGGTGCGCGAGAAGATCCCTGGTGCGAATCCTGTCTGTGACAAGTTCGTGGTTGATCCCAACGGGGGGAAGGTGGCGCTTGTCTCCACTACATCCCTCTAAGCTGAATTCTTTTCGAAGTGAATGTTCTTTGCTGTTTGATCGATGAATAAACATTCTTTTTGCCTTTGGAAAGCAGCAGCGTGATCCAGGCAGTGGTCCCCGTGGAATGACCACAATCTCCCGGCCTGGAACGCGATCATCGCCGCGCAAACGCAATTCCGCAATGGAGTCGACGCGATGCTGCTCGAGATCGTCCTCCGCTCGTAGAACAAGCTTTCACGCTTATTCTACTTTTAAGAGTTGCGTTATTTAGTTCTCATTTTAATCATAAAATGGACTATTTATATTTTAAGCGTTGTTAAAACGTGCATTTTATATATATATATATATCACTTGTCGGATTCCAGGCTCAAAATTTTAGAGGAATATTCTTTACGGTTATATATTTATGTTCTAAGTCTTTTGATACTGGTTGTTGCAACAATTTTGAGCCTGGAATCCGACAAGTGATAGATCATGTGGAAGTGGATGTGGCAACAGCATTGGAGAACGTGGAGAGCCACTTCAAACATTTTATCAAAGTTTACTTGACAGATGAAGAGTATAAGCTCCAGGTCTTGAGAAAAATCCTGTACGTGCTTTGAGGCACCAGAAGCAAGATCCCACCACGGTACATGGGATCACGCACTTCTCGGACCTCACACCACAGTTTTTTTGGGTTTCCATACAAGGGTACCTTCCGTAGATCAGGCTCCACTTCTTGCAACAGATAACTTGCCAGAGAGTTTGGGATGGTGCAGTGACCCCCGTGAAAAACCAGGTAAGTTAGTTTTCTGGATGATCTTAAGGTCTCACCTTTTAAAGTTCCAGGGAAGTTGCGGCTCTTGCTGGACTTTTAGCAGCACAGGAGCAGTGGAAGGTGCCCACTTTCTAAAGACTGGAGAGCTCAGTAGCCTATCGAGGAGCAGCTGATTGACTGTGATCACATGGTAATTTCTTTCTTGATTTGAATTATATATGGCAATGCTGATTGGTTGCTGCAAAGGTGGTGACATGTTAAATGTGTAGAAGTAAATTAAAGCCAAGGGTCTTGAAGCTGAGGAAAATTATTCTTACAATGAAGAAGGCTATAGAAGTATATGTTTCCCCGTCACCAATGCCACTTCCGGGTGGCTGCCATCATTGCGAACTACTCCACAGTGCCTGAGGATGAGAACCAGATTGCTGCAAATCTTGTGAAAAATGGGCCTCTTTCAAGTAAGTAGCATGTTGTTCTTTGGCAAAAGTTGACGAGACAATGTGGTTTGTGGTTTTTGCAGTTGCTCTCAATGCAGATTACATAAAAGACTACATGGGTGGAGTTTCTTGCCCTCACATTTGCCCTGGTCTGGTGAAGATGGATATCTTAGGCTGTGTTAAGGGTTTGGTGTCTGTGGCATGAACACCAGAGTCTCTACTGTTTCTGTATAGTTTCAAGAGGTAATAGGTATTTAATCCGACAATTTAAACTATGGAGCCCGTGTTGAGCCGCCTCCTCTAATATATATTATAGTCAAGAAGCATACAACTATGTTTCCAAATCATGACCCAACTCCTGGCCAGGCACTCCATTTCCACCTGCAAAGAACACCTTTTTGCCATGTATATATAGTATTTAGCTGAAGTATCTATCCATTTGTAATTTGATATCCATAATAGAAGATCGACATGTGAAGAAAACAGTAAAACGATGAGCTCCCAAGTCTCAAGAGAGGAATAACAACAAAGAACAAAACTGAAACTCACAGAAAACCGAAAGAAATTATAGGAAGAAACAAGCTCAAATAAAGAAGGCACTGGTAAAAAAGAGGAGACAAACACTAAACTTTACGCAAAAACGAGAAAGCTTAACAACGCGATTGAGCGTGTCGGAATGATCGTAAGACGCAAGAGCTGATGTTGCTGCCAAGGCGAAAAAGGGCCACGCAATATCTGCAAAGCATTGATTCTTAATGTGTACTAATCTCCTCACGACAGCTCTTCTTGCAACAAAGTAAGAGAACGAGAAGTCACTACTAGAATACAGCGTTTAGATCGACTAGCTTGCTATCGTATCAGGGACTTTATCATGCAAAAAATTGCTCACCGATTCTACAGGCTTTTCTGCTTGCTTTCATAAAAAGGTTAGAAGATAAAAAAGAAATAGAAATGGAAACAGGTACTCCAAGTTTATCAGGTGAAAACTTGACGGAGGACCATTTATTTGAAGTTTCAGAGAAAATTGGATTGTGATCCGATACATCATTCTACACACGTACCTGAACAAGAGAAAAGTGACGTGGCATCCACTTTTCTTAGAAGCCGTTCAAAATCTCGATCACTTCTGAAAGAGAATATACTTTGCGTGTAACAAAAAGGAAAGGAACTTCTATATTGTGCAGGGTTTCTAGCCCTAATTAATAAGTAGAAAGATGGCAAAGGCTCTAGCGATCATCTTGGTCGGCTTGCTCATTCTCGTGATTTGCTGCTCTTCATCAAACAGATTGGATATTGGTAAAATTCGACAGGTGACAGACAATTTAGAAGTAGACGATGTGGAGGGCCACTTCAAACACTTTATGCAAAAGTTTGGTAAGGTTTACGGGACTACAGAGGAGTATGTCCACCGGCTGAAGGTGTTTCAAGCAAATCTTGTGCATGTCATGAGCCTCAAGAAGCAGGATCCCACTGCCATACATGGGATCACAAGCTTCGCAGACCTCACCCCTGAAGAGTTATCGCGATTCCTGGGATTCCGTAAGGCATACTCCAATAGGGTTGTAAACCAGGCTCCTCTTCTTCCCACAGACAACTTGCCGGAGGCGTTTGATTGGAGGGAGCATGGTGCAGTGACCCCTGTCAAGTTCCAGGTTTTCTCTTAGCTCATGTCGATTTGATCATAGGTTTTCATTAAACAAGCTTGAAACTTACTTGTAGGGACGCTGCGGATCTTGTTGGACTTTTAGCACCACCGGAGTAGTGGAAGGCGCCAACTTTCTAAAGACTGGAAAACTCATTAGCCTTAGTGAGGAGCAGTTGATAGATTGTGATTACAAGGTACGTGACGGTCCCTTGAGGTTGATGTTATATAATATTTGTCCTGCAGGATAACGGCTGCGAGGGTGGCGACATGCTAAGTGCATACGAGTATGTAAAAGCCAGGGGTCTTGAGGCTGACGAAGATTACCCTTATGAAGAACTTGGCTACAGACACAAACCCGTCCGTGGTCCGTGCCGTTACCAGCCAAGCAAGGTGGTTGCCACCATTGCAAACTACTCAAGGGTGTCTGAGGATGAGGACCAAATCGCTGCCAATCTGGTGAAAAATGGGCCATTGTCAAGTAAGTACCTTTTGTGGTCTAGAAAAAGGCTGACAATCAGGTGTTTTTGCAGTTGCTTTAAGAGGAAATGTTTTATTTACTTACGAGGGTGGGGTTGCTTGCCCGCGCATTTGCCCTGGGGAGATAAACCATGGTGTGCTGCTTGTTGGCTATGGCGTAGAGAATGGTTTGCGTTATTGGACCTTCAAGAATTCTTGGACTGATGAATTTGGTGAAAATGGCTACTTTAGGCTATGTAGAGGTGTTGGTGTTTGTGACATGACCTCTGAAGTTGGCACTGTCTCTACATAGTTTAAAGATCATTATATGGTCTTTAATCTTGTAAATCACTAGTCTCTAGTTTGATAAAGTAATCTCAATGTCCAGCCTAATCTTTTTAAAATATTATATTACGGGTCTTTTTCAAATAAGTAGATGAGAAGGTAGAATGATGAAATCAAGAAAACATAATTAGATAATTTCTTGAGTCCGGCTATACATTTTTTTATTAAAATTTACGCGTGAGGGATGATGTGGCACCGTATCAAGTAACCATCGAGCGGGATAGCGACCCACGGTTGTCTCGCTCGCAAGACGCACCATCACGCTCAATGGTAATCTCGTAATTACTATGAAGATTCTCAGATTCTCCCACCGGGCCGATCCAGCTGCTACATGAAGGCCTATATATATTAGCTAGAGCACGAAGGCTTTCTCCCCCGTCTCACACCAAGTCTCACACGAGATATGGCGAACATCGATCGAGGAGAAAGGTTTCCTCTCTCTCTCTCTCTCTCTCTCTCTCTCTCGACTTGCCCTCACACCTCTTTGTTGTAGCACAGCTCTAGCGGGTTCTGGCGGACAATGTTCTTCAGGGTCATCTCTCTCTCTCTTTCTCTCTCTCTCTCATGCTCGCGCGCGATCGTCTCTTCGTCTCTTCCTCGCCTTCATCTCTTCGCGTCCTGCCCTTTCTCTTGTTCAGTCTGGCAATATTTCTCTCCCGCGCCGTGCCGGTCTTGCTCAATCTTCTTGTTTTGCAAATTATCTCTGGAGCCTGGATCTTTCTGTCTGTTTTTGCAGATCTCTCCTCTTTCTCTGCGCCCGATCGTCGCTCACTATCTTTCTTGCCTGCTCAGGAGTTTGCGGCGGTTTCAACCGGATCACTGAGGGCGAGCTGAGAGCCCTTCTCGGCGCATGCACTCCATCTCTGGTCGTCTCTGCGTGGGAGCTCATGGAGCTCACCAGCTCTGTCATCGTCGTGCGTGAGCAGATCCGTGGCGCAAATCCAGTCTGTGACACGTTCTTCGTTGATCACAAGGGGGGAAGGTGGAGCTCCTCTCCACTAAATCCCTTTGAGCTGGAGGCTCTTTGTTTCTCAATCGTTTGTTTTGTTCCATGAATAAATTTTTTTTTGCGCCATGATCCAGGCAGTGATCAGTGGTCGCCGCTGGACAGATCCGCTCATGCCGGCTCGGATGCCTGGGCAATCATCAGGAAGAAAAGCTTTTGATCAAATGCCCGGAAGAGATGTGGTGGAGTGGAGCTCAGACTCTCCTCCAGTCCTCGAATCATTTCGCGGACAATGATCTTGCCAAGCGCCACAGAGCCAAGAACCACCGAAATCTCCCGGGTAGAGCACCCCCCCTTATTTAGGGTGGGCCCCATTTGCTTATTGGATTTGCATGCCACCTCATTGCTCATGCCACCTCATTACTATAAATTAAAGATTGTTCTAGTATATTATTTTCAACTATTTTAAAGTATTTTAAAGTAAAAAATCAAATATATTATTTATTCTACTATAACAGCATTATCTTGATTGTATAGCTTAATATGACTGCATAGAATATTAAATGCAGCTTCCTTTCTTTCAATATATATTTTTTGCCAAATATATTCTTGAAAGTAAGAGTTGTATAATCTTTTTGTTGTACTATAGCGAGGAAGGGATCTTTTCACTGCATTCCATGTTAATTCAAAACGATTTATATGAACTCCAGTCACGGGATCAACAAAATTCTGGGAGTGGTTGACTGTATAATGAGTGAAGTTCAATTGATTCAACCACTCTGAATCATAACCAGCCCAACAATCACTATATATAATTATTCCTAAAAAATTAATTATAATTATTAGTTAAGAATAATAATAGAAATAGAACTTACCTAGTTCAACATGTGTATATAATATATCAGTTAAAGTTTGTGCAGTACGATTGGCCATCAGAACCATAAACATTTGATCTGAATCACATTCAATTCCTCCAAAGACCCATTGACCTACTCTTCTACCACGATTATATTTCTGCTTACCAAATTTACTTTCATCAATTTCCACAATTCTTCTTGGACCACCAATCTTTTGACTACCTTATTGTAATGTGATAACACAAATATCACGACAAACGTTATACCAATTTGTTGTCGTATGCTCACTTTTAATACTACACTCAATACAAGCTTGATCTTGTGGCATTTTAATGCACCAACAATACATCACTTTAAGCATTTGAGCAAATGTGAGATTACTATTTGTAAATCATGTATTAGTTCTAAGAGATCTTGTGGTATTACAATTTTTACAATTCCACTTTAAACCATTTTTACAACCTAGATTATCAGATCAATATCTCATTGGTTGATGGCATCTTTCACATTCTCTCTCTTGTGGAAGAAGACCAACTATAATACAAAAAGTAAAAGAATTTACTTTACTATTAATTCTCTCAATAAGATTAGAAAAAGAAAGAATACTATCTTGAGCATGATCTACATATTCCAATCTAGCCATAATATTAAAGAGAATGAATAAAATAAGAAAGAAAATATAAGGAGCACAAACATAAAACACAATGAGGAAAAACCTAAACCAATCGTAGGTTATATACTTATAAATTATAGCTGTTCATTCACTGGCTAATTATAAAATTATAGTCGTTAACATATCCATTAACAACATCTACTAATTAAAGTTTAACATCACTAATTTAGAGTTAGTCATTAAACATTTAGGGTGTAGAGCTGGGCGTGACTAAGCGCGCCACGGAGGAAGCGAGAAGTGAGCGTGGCAAAGAAGAGTGAGGCTGTATTATGCATTTCTTCCAATCTCCTGGCCTGGAACGTGATCATCGCCACATACACACAATTCCGCAATGGAGTTGATTCCGTGGCACTGCTGCACGCGATGCTGCTTGAGGGATCGTCCTCTGGCTCCTTCCTGCTCATTGCTCGGGCTCGTAGAAGAGAGCCACTCGATCTTCCAGGTGATGGCTAGCCAAGAAAGCTTTTGACCATCTTTGATCGAATGCCGCGCTTGAGATCTTCGATTATTCTGCGTTGTTGAGCGTTTTTAAGCCAAGATAGATAGAAGAGGTCGAAGTGTCTGTTTGAACACAATCCATGCTATGAGCGTCTTTATTGGTGTTTACAACCGCGGAGTAGAGCTGCAAGATCTTTAACTCCATGCCGGAGAGGAACACTTCTTTGTGGTTTCCACGATGCAATTGGCTCGATGTCTCCTACTTTCACTTTGTGGATCTTTCCTAGAGGAGCTTGTCAATGATTTGTGGGGGAGATCGAGTAGAACATATATCCAAGAAATGGATTTTCTTGTTCTTTTAGAACCAAAGAACCAAAATTTGCTCCAAATGCAAACCCAAGAATTTTGCTCCAATAGCAATCATCTTTAGTCAAAAGTGACATGTCTATTAAAAAATATTAACAATTTTATTTAGTATTACAAACTGTGCTAAGGGATAAACATTATTCTCATTATATGTTTAATATATAAATGTTTGTGAGAGGCAAGTGTATGGATACGATGCCATATACTAATATTAGTATAGTGGGATTTTGGTAGTAGTTAGATTGGTTTCAATCTGGACCATTCACTCCTATATATAATCTAAGGCTTTTGGGCTAATTGATAAGCATATTTTCTGTATTCCCTTTTCTATATTCCATGCACTCACATTGGTGGAGGTGAAAGGCACCTTTTAATTATCTTAAATAGTGTTTAGATTTGGGATTTTGGTTTAAATTTAGTTTTTGTATCGTCTAGATTTAGCTTTTTCTATTTCCTTTCTTTTATTCTTTCCTTTCAGAAGTTTGGTTTTGATTTAGCTTTTTACATTGTTTAGATCTCCTTTTCCTTCTAGCTTTTTGTCATTTCTCTTCATTTACTCTTTCCTTTTCATTCATATTCATGGTAGATTAGCAATCTTTTCCTTTGACTATGGAGTAGTAGTTGGTACAATTATTTGATGCTATGCGCTTGCAATTGAATAATCAAACTCAATTGATGGCAGTATTCAAGACACGTGGTCCAACTTCTCTTGCTCTTGGTACCAATCCTTGCGTTCGGCCGGAGTTCTTTCGTGGGAATCCTAGGGATGATATGTACCATTAGTTTGATCTGCCACATATCATTTTTGGGATGATGTTTGACATTTGTGTGAGTTTCTTACGTGTTTCTAAGGGACGGTGCTGCAGTGGTACAATGATTTGAGTGTAGCCACTCGTGGGGATTGGAGTGTTCTCCTGGATGTCTTCAAACATGTATTTGGACATGCTGACGATTGTAATAATGCCTTTTAGCAATTGCATCATCTTCGTCAAGGGCCATTTGAGTCAGTGATGCAATCTGGCATTCGTTTCCAAAGCCCTTTGCTTCGTGCAGAGCCTCGGAGCGGATCAAGCTAAGAATGTTATGGCCAGCACTTCGTCAAGATCTTGTTGGACTTGTGCATGTAGTTGCTCCAGCCACCCTTGACGATGCTCTTTGCTTGGCATAATGTTATGAGACGTCGCCTCTTCCACTTCTTGCTGCACATCCTTCCGCTCTACTTCCTGTGAGCGATGGTCATGTTCCAATGGAGGTTGATGTTGCTGCTGCTTGAGTCCAAGGACAAGGATGAGGATGTGGTCGTGGCCATGATGTTCATTGTTAGGCATATGATGAAGTTGGTCACATTTATCGGCATTGTTGGCGTTTTTCGGATTGGCGACCTCCATTTCCTGGGTGGAGACCTTGGTGTCAACAATGTCCTGTTGGTGCTGTTGTAGTGGAAGGTTTGGACACTGAGATGCATCTGGGAAATGAGGAGTCACGCGAGTAATAGAGAGACCTTGCGCGAATAAGTCAGTGACCCCTTCATCTTTCTTTCAGGAGTATTATCAAGGGGTTCACTTGGGACCAGTTCATGCAGTGTTTACTTTCCAAGCTCGTTTTTATAACAAGAGGTCTCTTATTATTCTCTCTGTGTTGGTTGATACAAGTTCGAGTTTATCTTCTATTGCTCGACCTATTGCCATACGTTGCCGTTACACTTGTGTCGTGCGGCAGAACCCGTTTTCATTCTTTATGGCAATGGCCATACATATGCATGTGCATGGGATGAGGTGGACCTGGTTGTGCATGTGGGCGATCTTGAGCTTGGGTTGCAATTATTGTTGGTGGTGTCAAATCAAGCTTTTAACCTTATCCTTGGTATGGGCTTAATTTTTGAATGTAGAGATTGTTTTGTGAGTAGTGTATTGTTGGGACTAACCTTTAGTAGATCAATCTCCACACAGCCTAACTAGTCATACCTCAGCACATAGGATCGGTTTGAATCCCCCAGCTCACAAATTCCAGATAGAATACAATGGTAGCTAGTCTGATACAAGTTTTTCTTGAGCCAGTCCATGCAAAGGAACTTGGTGTCAAAGATGGCACTTGCTAGCACCTTGCTAGTCACTTTCTTGTAGCATCCCATGCTCTTGTAGACCTTTAGAACAGCACCATCTTCACTAATGTTTGTGATGCTCTCATTGTGGAGCTGGACATTCAAAAGACTCAGCCATAAGGCAAAAATCCAATACAACACCACAATACCTAGCTTGGCTTACCCTCATATCATAGCATTCATATAGTAATCCTGCACTAGGATGATCTTGAAGACAATTTTCACTCTCAACTCTTTTTACAGCATTTCCAAAATTATAAGTGTATTTCTACACATCATGGATGCCCATACTCCCACTTACACAAAAAGCCCAAGCTCCGTCCTATGTGACTAATGTAAATTTGTTACTTTGACTAATGTGTGACCATTGCTTTCTGGGGGAGTGATGGTAGTCAAGAGCAAGCCACACTAGTGCGAACAAAGGACATAGAAAAGTCAGGTATAACCTTTTAAAGTGGCTGATAAACTATGACAAGATTAATTATAGAGGATGGTTCTAACAAGCCAATTGCAATAGCAATAAAGGGTGATAATAGTTTGTCCATCTTGATGATCTTCTCAATGAGCACAATTGGCTTGGCAATAGTGGTGACATTTGGAATCCTTTCCAACATTACAAAAGAACAAAAGAACAAAACCAAAGAAAAGTAAATTAGGTAAGATCTTTGTGTAGCATTTCTTTTCTTTTCTTTATAGGAAAGAACTCACCTGGGAGTATGAAGTGAACCTCACCAAAAGCCACACAGTTGGGATTGTCCCCTCTAAATCCCAAGCCTTGAGTGCATCTCTTACTTAGAAACCCCACTTTTTTTTTCAGAATTAAAGGTAAACTCACCCAAGGCTTGAAGTGTCCATTAGGTAGATGCAATGGTATGTGGTCACATATGATTTCAGTTGGGAATATAGTGTAAGTTATAAATGTTCTTTTTACAATTTGCCACAAGTATTTTTACCTTGGCTTTAATCAAGTTCCTTTTGCCAAGGTCCACTCTTACCATACCAACTCTTATTGGGTCCTACTTAAGCATGTTTTTCTGTATCAAAAACCTCCCAAGAACCCTAAGTGTTAGCCATTTCTTAATGAATTCCTTCTTTCAAATTGTCTGGAGCCACTTCTTAATGGATTCCTTCTCTAAGATTGTCTAGATTTAACTTGCTATATTAGGAGCCAAAAAATGAAAAAAAAAAGCCAAGATAGTGTAAACATATGCATTTGGGACAATAAAAGTTTTTTAGCCTACATTTGTTTGCATCCCTATATACATCTTTCCATCTTTGTTTCTATAGCTATCTTACTATCTTAGTTTTTCTCCTTGGTTTTCATACATCAAGTTTCATTTATAAGTTATTCTAGAAGGTTTATAGTGAGTTTATCCCTTAAGTAATAATTCATAGCATCACATAAATCTAAATAAATTATTATTTATACACAAATGGGTCATAAAGGGAGATTCTCCCTTTGTGCCTAGAGTGCACCCATCTTCACTAGTAATATCAAGCTCACAATACCAATGATTAAAAGAACAACTACTTTGAAGAAGTATCTCAGATGCCATCATTGATACTAGTTGTGAGCTCTTCCATTCTTGTATTCTTGTTATGGACATAGTCATACTAGAGCTTCAACAATATAACGCTTTATTACTATAGTAGAAAAATAAATATTCTACTACTTTTATATCTCAAGAGAGACATAACAGATCACCAATTGATTGGATACCTCCTCCCTCTCCATCACAAACTCACTCTTTTGGAAGGCAGTGATCTCCCTCTTGCAAGAATAATTCCTCCACCCCTCTCCAATGATCCTTTGTTGAAGCTCATGATCATGGTGTGGTGGTGCATTTGCTCTAGGAAATCAATCACATAGCCAATATTGATGTCATCTCTAATGATCCAAGAAATCTTCTCCACTCCAGGGAGCTGGGCATAAAAATAATACACCTTTAAAACCCATCCTTTTAAGGTAAAAAACTAGATTTTCCTTAGGGTAGAATTAACCAAGGGGAGAGATCTTTGTAGACTTGGAGACAATATAAGGGGCCGTGATGTGTGTATAGATTTTAGCACAACACCATTTCTTTGTAGAAATTTGAAGTCCTGTAAAGTAATAAGAGTGATAGCAACCACCACTTTTAAGTGCTCTAATAGTATACCTTCTCTAGCAACACCGAAGGGTGTTAGAAGAGAAGTAAATGGTATGCCATCATCAACAAAAGATGAGGTTGCTTAGTATGATTTGATAGAGTTTGAAAGTGAGGACTCCAAAAAAATGTGATTCATCAACTTTTATTATTATTAAACCCATTTTATGTATCAAGTATTGGAGTAAAACCTTACTCTAGCAACAACAAGAAGAGTTTCTTTTAGAGGAGCTTTGCACTTTCAGGATATAAGCCTCTTCTCATTAGCACATTGCAATTCCCAAACTTATGATAATGATTATTGCCAAAAGTTAAATCTAGAGCAACATTCTAGGAAGCAATAGCAAGCTATGACATAACCACTTACAGACAACACAAGTCTCTACTTAAATGGTTACTAAACTGTGCTTTAGCAGAAAGCTCTTGAGGCTCCCTTGACGTCACAAGGTGATCGCAAGGGTTAACATGATAACCACCATTGTAACGATCATACAAGGTAGGATGAAGAAGCAAATCCCTACCATAGTTGACATGGAGCAAACATAGACTCAGCCAAGCTCAAAAACTACATTTACTTTAGCAATAGTACAATTCCCCTTTCTACTAGTATTTGTGGTGGCATCTTAAGTTCTAGCTATTACTTTTCAACTAGGAGGAGTCTTGACATATTTTTAAAGATATTATACCTACACTTCTAACACACTTGTTGGAGTAAATTTTGACACTTCAGCTCTAGGTTTTTCTTTGTGACTTGCTTGAGTGTGTCCCAGGCTTGGCCAACCAGCTGGACCAGTTTTCTCACTTGCAAGCTCCCCCAGCTTCTCATAGTGAACATAAAGAGTTGGTGGATTGTTCAATTTAGCTAGATTTAAGTGCCTTGGTCATGTCAATCATGATCATTAGGACTGCGATAGATGGACTGCTTTTAAACTCTAGTTTTGAGAGCAATATCATTTCCTTGCATGAATTTTGAGCATAAAAGTTATGATCAATTGGGCACCTCAAAGGAATGACCGCATCATCCTTGGTCACATTTGGCATGAGGTGATGGATTATAAATATGTTGGCACTGTGCACTACAACAATTTTGGATGGCAAGACCTTTACAATTGACTTGAGTCTGCACTATATTCATAGCCTTGGGCTGTTTAGAAAGAGTCCATCCCTATTCATCAAGGACAGTTGACCTAATCATTTTTCTAGAGCTGCTTCAAGTTGGAGGTTTTGGAGGGTAGCATCTTTGACTACTCTCCCTTGGATCTCTTAAGCATCTAGACCTCCATAATAAGTTTCTGGATCATACAAACTTGCCATCATCACCTATAATTTATCTTTCCACGTTGCCACCTTTTTAGGCTAAACAATTTTTGGAGCGTTGGTTCAAGAAGATCAAAAGTTTAGCATAGTGAAAGATCAAAAACTTAACATGCTAAAAGACCTCCCTTCAGTGGGCACGTGCTTTTACAATGAAGATCCAGCCCAAGAGCCAACACCAACTCTCCCAACCTTGCCTCCTATGACTTTGGATATAGAGTACTAAGAGATCTAATTGAGCTTGGTAAAGGACAACATTAAGGACCTTTCTCCTTTGTTTAGAGAAGTTTACACTCATCATTTTATGGTTTTGATGGAGCCTAGTGTCTGTGATATTGACAAGGCAACATTGGTGTATGGATCATCAATGATCAAGAGAAGTAAGTTGTCAAGCTCTCCATATATTTGCCAGCTTCATCTAGGAATGAGGTTGAGTACTTGACCATGATCAGTGCTATGCAATTGCCAAAAGAACTCAAGCCTTGGCATGTCTAATTCACGAGAGATTTGCAACTAATGACTTGCCAACTCAATGGTGAATATTAAGTTTGGCAAGGCACTTCAGAGACTTGTGGCAGTAGGTAGTGTCCATGGAACAACATTTTGAAGACCAATTAATAGCATTAGAAATTTCGTTCTTATGCTCTTCTAACCAATTGCACATACAAAGACTAGTTTCTTAGCTTAGGTGGAAATTAATAAAGGGTCTAACAATATCAATCTTCTACTATTATAGCAGTAATAAAAAAATATATGAAAAGACTCATTAACAGGTAACTTTTGATACCTGTAATTACATTTGCGATAATTTCTTTGCTCTAGAGCTTCATGTGTTCATGCGGGATTACAACCAGCTCCTAAGTGGACACTCTTATGCACAAGATTAAACTCCTTGACAACACAAGGCCTGTTTGTTAATGTTTATGGCAATATAACTCAGCTTTTTATCTCATGGATATTCAAAAGCTTTTTGTGATCCCTCTCGTGGCTCATTCAAACTGGGTGTCCAGCATTGTGCCAGTTTGTTGTGTTGATGCTAGCCTCCTCAATTATGACAAAGATCTCAAATAGTCTTGTGTATATTGATGGCCACAAGATTGATGCCAATTGAATAGCTTGTTTGAGCAACTCAACAGTCTAGTGGTGGTAAGTCCACTCAAAAGGAGCATTATAAAGTAAAGTCGTTCAAGGACGAGTTTAAACTGCATAATTAGATTTAGTGTATACCCCAAAGATTGCAAAATGCTCTCTTATCTCTATCCAGTGGATCCACCATGATTAAACATTGTTTAATCATCTAAAGTCCATGCATATTTTGACCTTACCATTGGCTTTCCACTTTCTGGTCTATGGGAGAGAGGCTATCTTTTTAGTGGAGATTTAAATCCTGTCCATCCACTTTGTGTCATGATATGTGGTAGAAAGGTGGAGTGGCTCCAGGCATAAGCTTGGGAGCTTTTGGAGCTGGATGAATAATGTCTTGTAGCTTTGGAGAACATCTATGCACAAAAGGTCTAACTCAAGGTTCAATGAGATTGTCAGGCTTTTTTAACACCATTAAGATGACTTAGTTTTTCTCAAGGATTTCACACCTTCATCCAAGTTTGCACTAAGATGGTTGGATCCCCACATCATCCAGTGTCACAAGGGAGGCATTCCGATGGCCACTAGCTCAAGCATTTACAACATCATAGCAAGAGGAAAACTGTTAACATTCAAAATATCTAATCTTCTCTCCAACTGATACCCATCTGCAACTTCTTTAAAAATATCCAAATTTGGCAACAACAGAAACTCAACCCAAAATCCAATACTGTTGACATTCAGAATATCTGATTGTGTGAAGCCATCTTAAAAATTTCAAATTTAGTGACACCAGAAACTTAATTCAATACTGCTGCTTGGACGTGTGCATGGCCATTGGTAGACAGAAATGTGGCCGCTTAAGAGCTCTAGTGAGACGTAATGATATGAAAGAACCCTAATCCTTCGTTCGTAAGGGTTCTAGAGAGCAATGGAGGAAGCGTTAGAGGGATGTTTCGACGCTGCGATTGTTGGAGCTGGGATCATGGGGCTGTGCACCGCCTACGAGCTCGCCCGGAGAGGTAAGAGCGTGATCATACTGGAGCAATTCGATCTGCTGCACCGCAGGGGCTCGTCACACGGCGAGTCGCGCACGCTGCGCCTCACCTATCCGGAGAGCTACTACACGCTCATGGCCCGATCGGCGTTGGATCTCTGGAAATCCGCTCAGCGGGAGGCCGGATTTGAGGTCTACAAGCGCACAGGGCAGCTAGATTTCGGTGCCGCCGACCATCCAGGGCTCCAGCAGCTAATCGCGGCGTGCCGGGAGCACGGGATCCACCACCAGGTCTTCGGCCGCGAGGGATTTCGCCAGAAGCAGCCCCGGATCGCAGGGATTCTCGATCTTCCAGAGGGCTGCATCGGAGTGTGGACGGAAGAAGCTGGGGTTTTGCGCGCCACCAAGGCGTGCGCGATGTTCTTGGCGCTGGCTACCAGGCACGGGGCGATCGTCCGCGACAATGCCAGGGTCACGAAGATCTCCCCCGGATGGAAGGACTCGCGCGGGGAGAAATCGGTGCTGGTCGCGACAGGCAAGGGATCAGTGCTGGCAAAGAAGTGTATCATCGCGAGTGGTGCATGGGTTCCAAGGATCGTGGAGGAGAACTTTGGGCTGGTTCTTCCGGTCCAGCCTCTACACACGACGATCGCCTACTGGGAAGTAAGTGATCGATCCAAGCACGCAGAGTTCCTGGCAGGGAATGGCTTTCCAACCTTTGCCTTCTACAACGAGAAGTACTTCTATGGAACTCCATCGCTGGAGTTCCCGGGATTGATCAAGGCCTCCATTCATGGTGGAACTCCTTGCGATGCCGACGATCGCTGCTACATCCCGGACGTGGAGGAGCTCAAGAGGATCATGTCGCCATGGATGGAGAGGGCCTTCGGGAAGAATGTGAGGTGCGATGCTCCAGCCATGGCGGAGGCTTGCATGTACTCGATGACCCCGGATCAGGACTTCATCCTGGATGTTCTTCCGGGAACCCAGGAGCAAGTGCTGGTGGCGGCGGGGTTCTCCGGGCATGGATTCAAGATGGCTCCGTTGGTTGGAAAGGTGATGGCGGATCTGGCCGAGAGTGGGGCGTCGCCGGAAGTGCCTCTCGAGCTCTTCTCGCTGCAGCGTTTCCAGAGGAGCGCCTTTGGCAACGAGAAGAGCTTTGATCCGGTGAAAGAGCTGTCGACTTTGAGCCTCTGATCAAAGCTATCCTACTTTGTAAACTTTGTAAACCTTCTAATGTATTAATTTGTCCTCTTTTTTTTTTTTTTTTTCAGGTTCTTATTTACATAAGAACAATAGATGTTCCAATCAACTAAAGACCGACAATAAAGCGAAAGTTGGAGAGATCGCTCGTGAAATTGTGTTCCTCTCCGTGTCAGTTTGATCGATCTCTCCCTCCAATCAAGACGTTCCAGGAGATCAACATCAAGCCTTGCTAGGCAGTGATCATCGCGTTCAAACAGACACTTCGACTTCTTCTATCTAGCCATTGGTCCCAGCCTTGTGGCACGGGATCCCAGATCTATCCAAATACCTCCACTGGCAAATGCCGCAATAAGGTCGAGGCAGAGCTGCGACATCTTCTGAAAGTTCTTTTTTGATCCAGAGCATGTTTTATAACACAAAGTTTTGGATCTCCATCCGTGGCAGCATCATCTCCATCAAGACCATATGTCATTCCAGGCATAAGCCGCCACTCGCGAGCAGGTTCACAATGTTGATCTATATATGTTTTACGATCTGCCAAATTATTTTAACAATAATGCAAACTAAGAAAAAGATTAAAATGCAAACTAATCATTTCCAAAACAAATATTTAAGCAATCTAGAAAATAAGAAAAGTTGGTGTGAGGTTTGAGAAGGGTGCCAGATAAGATCCACTCCAGCGCTCCAAGATCTCGCTAAGGTAAAGCACGGCATACAAGATTTTCCTCAAAATCCTGGATCATATGCGAAGGTAGGGGATGGTGCATTATGATCTCGAGCATCTTTTTGAAGTTATATGCGGACATGAAGCATTGCCTCCTATATTCTTGAAGAATTTTTTTTCGTGTAACTCAGCTGGCAGCGGGGACGAGAAGAGAACCAGGAAAAAGCACTTTGTAAACCTTTAATTGACTATAGACGAGTTTATCGATGTCTCTCTCGGTCATGACCTCGTCTCCACTTTATCACTCTCTTTCTCGACAGTCAAGAATGATGAACCTAGCCACTGTATACGAAAAACACACTGTGTATTGCTCACTATTCTTACATATATATGAACACTGTGAGTTTCACCTGGATTCCCCCCTCGATCTGATCCATCCTAAAGATACTCCCCCTGCATTGATATAATGATACTGCTGGACGAGCTGAAGACCGCACTGGTCGCACTACTGCTGTAGAGTCTCCAGAAGATCCACTGCTTCACTCAGTGTCAAACCGGAAAAGCTCAACTGGAGTCTCAAGAAGTTCGATCCAGAGAATGAGGGGCGAGAGCTTGTAAGCCCGAGCCAGCGGATCCTCTCAGCTTGCAGCCACACCAGAGAGATCGACCAGTGGCATGGGTATTTCCAGGACATGGCTGAGTTTGGCATTGCACTAAGTGTCTAGCACTACTTCTGTTTAATTGATCAAGTGTCAAGCCGTGGATCCCCCCAGATGGACCCTCAATCAATTGTTTTTCATCCTTTAGTGAGCTCTAGACTAAAAATAAGGTTTTATATTTAATATAAATTTTTTTTCGTCTCTAATTGCTTAGTATTTTAGTAATTTCATCATCTTCCCTAGATATTTTTTTACACTCTCGATTAGATACACTCTTTCATATGCTCTTGAAATGCCAATCGAATCTACTCTGATCCACACCAATTGCAGCAATGAAATTGCCCACTTTTAGCCATTAAGCATTATCACATTCTCATGTGTGGGCATCCCCATTGCATGTAGAGCTTCCTCCATGGCATCTCACTGTCCTCTACCTCACAGTAGCAATAGTTTTGCCAATCACCCACCCTTTCCCTAGCTAAACATTAAAACTAAATTTTGCTTATGTATCAAAACATGTTAATTGGCTGACATGGCAATAGTGATCTGGCAAATGTGGCAATGATATGGCATGCAGTGCTTTGCAATTGCACATCTAATGCCCATTTGTATGCTTCAGTTGTGTATGCAATAGTTGTCACAGTGGTTATGACATTGTTTGGATTAATAGAATGGTAACACGTGTTATAGAAGTGAATTTGGAAAGGGATCACAAATGTCATTCCAAATGACTCTGAATTTGCACAATATATGAATGGAATAAAACTTGATAGTAATGATCAAATCAATGAAAATAATATGAATCACTTGAATATAAGAAAAGTTATCTTAGCATGATAGAAGGTACAAAGCAATCAATATGCAATAGAAAAGAAATTGTATATCTCATTTTGTAAATGCTCTTCAAAGTTGGCACACATCCTTTTAAGAACTGTGTAAATCTCCCACAATGAAAGGAAACGAATGAACATTAAAATAACTAAAGTGTATTACCATTTAGTATTGATAAATCCCACAATAGAGCAACCAATCCATAGAACTTTAGCGCACAAAGACTGTCAAAATTCCTAGAGGTTAGTTAGTGCTCAGTACCTTCAAGATATTCATCAAGATCTGGCACAAAATACTTTGAATCAAGCAATGTACCTAACTTATGCTATAGCTCAAATTTAAGGGTGGCATGTATGGCTATTTCATGAATTCTAGCTAACACGCTCTTTGAGGATTTGAGCATGTATCCAACAACATCAATCCCTTTTCTGAAAAAACCCATGAAAACCTTGTATTTGGGAATCAAATCTTCTATTGAAAGGAGCAAGCCATCATGACAAGCAATCATTAATCAATATGATCTTGGGTATTGAAAAATATTTGTTTGCTAATTCTTACAAACACTTTCTCATTATTGCTATAATGGCAAGAGATTGATACTACTAATTCCCTTTATATTTCCCACTTGAACTAGTTGAGTGTAAACCATAAATCCCTAAGCCCCAAAGTGGCTAAAAGGGTGCCATATGCTAATGGCTAAAGTGGAAGTCCAATATGTTTAGACTAAAAGCTTTAATTCAAAAAGTCAAGTGAAATTTTTAATGAAGTGTTCAAGGAAAGAGCACGAAGTGATCAATAAGTGAGTCTCTAGAAAGGGACATAAAAGAAACTAACACATGGTAAGTGTCGTGACACATGAAAATATCGGGACTAAGTTTAAAATGAAGTTCAAGAAGGAGTCTCAGATGGAATCTGAGATGGAGTCGAGATGGAGTCTGAGAAGGAGTCCAAGACTAAGATTAAGACTGAGACCAAGACTAAGATTGAGACCGAGTTCGAAACCAAAATTGAGTTTGAGACCGTGAGATCAAGTTTAAGTCCAAGTCCGAATCTGAAGCCCGAGTCCATCTGGAGGTGAAAGCCCAAAGCAATCATCTCCCAAAGCTTAAGGGGTTTAGTGAGTTCTTGTGGGATAGTGAGGGGAAGGACTCCAATGGAACTAATTTGGCTAAGAAAGGTTAGTATAACTAAGGAAGGTTACACTCATGTGGTGGATAATGATATAACTATTGTAGAGTCCAAAGTTAAAGTGAACACAAATGGACAAGTGGGTGAATTGTTCAAGAGTCGACTTTAGCTCCTTTAGGAAATAAGATAATCAATGCTTTTAATCCAAATGTGAGTGGTACTACTTACTTGGATACCTTCTGTGGCTCATTAGAACCTTGCTCTAGCTATATAGTTAGGGCACTTTAGTGGTGGAAGGTGAGGGGAGTACCTACGAGGCTCACATTGGGTTGTGGTGTTTTAAAATGTCGTCCCAAAATCTTAAACTATGGAAAGAAAAAGGAGTGGTCCTCTCACTTAGTAACCAAGAGTATGTTTATGTGGTGAAGAAGTCCTAAAGGTTAATGGGGTATAATGGATGAGCCTTCGAGCCCTAGATTGGTAATGGTGTTTGTAAGCACTACTATAGATGGAGGGGATTTGGTGGAGACTGAAGTAGGGATATTGAAGGATGGTGTTCCTTATATCTTGGGGCATCTTAAAGATGCTAAAGTGTGGTTATGGGATGGCTATGTAAGTAACTAAGGGAACGACTCGAGAGACAATTTATAAAGGTTCAAATATAAAAGAAAATGGCCCATGAATAAGAGTGCACCCCCTATTTCAATTCATTAAGGATCTTGAAATACTTAAGGTTAAGCATTCTTGGGTTTGAATGGTACTGCATTAGGTGACGTCCCAGGAAGTCTAAATTCAAAAGCTTACAGACCACTCATGGATAGATGGCCTAGTTTTATAAAAACAAGATTGTGTTGCAGATAGTCTTAGACTATTAATGAGACAAGAGTGAAATAGGTTGAGATATCTATGTGTAGCACACATTATCTTTCTCCTTTTAAGCCAACTGAAAAAGGGGCAATTGCTTGATGAGAGAGCACTTAGTGGCTATTTTATCCCCTATTTATCCCCTTCAGAGATGTCAATGTCCTCATTGACTATTGACTAACAACCTCTACTGAGCCAAGGGGAACCAGCACCTCCATTCCCGCACTGAATCTCCATTCCCGCACTGAATCTACTAATCCTTCCATTGTGTAGACCAGCTATTCCACGGTGACAGTATATCCAAATCTCATCCCATGTGCTACACTCACCCCCCTTCAGAGATGTCAATGTCTTCATTGACTATTGACTAACAACCTCTACTAAGCCAAGGGGAACCAGCACCTCCATTCCCGCACTGAATCTCCATTCCCGCACTGAATCTACTAATCCTTCCATTGTGTAGACTAGCTATTCCACGGTGACAGTATATCCAAATCTCATCCCATGTGCTACACTCACCCCCCTTCAGAGATGTCAATGTCCTCCCGCACTGAATCTCCATTCCCGCACTGAATCTACTAATCCTTCCATTGTGTAAACTAGCTATTCCACGGTGACAGTATATCCAAATCTCATCCCATGTGCTACACTCACCCCCCTTCAGAGATGTCAATGTCCTCATTGACTATTGACTAACAACCTCTACTGAGCCAAGGGGAACCAGCACCTCCATTCCCGCACTGAATCTACTAATCCTTCCATTGTGTAGACCAGCTATTCTATGTGAGACAACTAGTCATCCACCTGTATTGCAGTCCTACGGTGGATACCTTCGTCCATGGATACTTCACACAAGAGGAACTGAATCTACTAATCCTTCCATTGTGTAGACCAGCTATTCCATGTGAGACAACTAGTCATCCACCTGTACCGCAGTCCTACGGTGGATACCTTCGTCCATGGATACTTCACACAAGAGGAAGGACGTACAC